TGAATGTGTGTGTGTGTGTGTGTGGGGTGTGGGTGTGTAGAAAATTCAATTCTCTGTCTCTCGTTCTTTCTCGTCATCTTCGTCCCTTCTCGCGGCTCGTTCTCTCGCGTTCTGCTGCTTTGTCACTTTGTCCCGGTCGCACACCGCTCGTTTCTAACCCCGCGCGGAAAAAGACGTCTGATACGGACATTATCTCCCGGAAAATAAATTGCATTCGATGCTGCGGGTTTCACTTCGCGTCCGTTTGAGGAGCAAAGATACCAGCGCGAGCCGCTTTTCGCACGTTCGGTAACGAGTTGCGGAAAATCGGGAATATTTGCGAAACAAATGATATACAATGTTACACGCTACGGAGCGTGTAACAATATATAAGTAAAGCAAAAACGGGAGGTATACACTTCGAAGAAACGTAAAATTGTAAAACTCACTGAAAATCACAGATACGTACTCTCTCGTTGCATATTTTCACATAATTTTGTAAAAAAGTCAATTTCATTTAGGTGCACATCTTTGTTCTTATCAATAAAACATAAAATAAATGCTATACACATGATATAAAATCTCGAAATAACACGCGCTTTTTTTTAACGTAACGTTAGAAAAGAAAATTTTTATTTTTCATGTATGTGTGAAAATTTCATCGCACATGTCGGTGGATTTTTCCAGGGCTATAAGTAGATTGCACAGGGAAGATGATTATTACATTAATAATTCAATTTGAAAGGCTTTTAGACGCGCGGATAAATGGCACCGTAACCGACGAATAAAATACGTATCATAAACTGTTCTCTTGGGCGGTGAGGCGGCAATTTTGCAAATTACGTAAGCGGTCTACATGTTTGTTTTCAGAGATGAGCGTTACGTATGCAATAAAAACATACGAAAAGGTTATAACGCAGAAAGTTCACCGAGAAATATATTTCCCAGAACAGTCCTCGGGGGACCGACCACTTTATATGAATCATTAGAATTGTACTGTGACATTGTTTCGACGGAACCACGTAGGACGGACTGTGTCCTCGTTCCGTGTTACCTTCCCGCTCCGTCTGTTCCATTCGCGGACAAACTTTTGAAAGAGCGGGTAATCGAAATGTGCAAATGAAATTCCATATGTGACTCTTTAAATACTTACGAAGTTCAAGCATATATTGTGTACAATACTCGCTCTTAATTTAAAAATTTATAATCGCGTAACAAAGATAGAAAAATATTTATAATTAAGAGAGAAAAAAAGGAAGAGATAAACAAGATGAAACAATTCAAATGTGTGATACTTTGTACCTGAGATAATTTGAAAAATATGTATTTTTCGACAAGAAAACCGACTAGTCTGAAACTCGTCGATATCGAGTTATCAGCATGTGCGCGTTTTTCTTCGAAAAACAGACGGGGAAATAATTTATCAATTTTTTAACACACAACTATTGTTCCGAAAAAGAAAACAATCTAAGAGAGAGCACTCGACGTGATGCGTTGATTGAAATTGTGTCTCTATCGACGAAAAGAACTATCGACAACCGGGAGAAAAATATGGCGCACTTGTTACTTCTCCGGGACGCCGCTTGAATGTGTCTGCAATAATCCATGTTTCGCGGATAATGGCGCGGGCACGCATCGGAGTTTTCTTGTCCTTCGAGCGATCGAGTTTGTCGGATAAACTCGTTCGAGAGAAAACACTCGCGAGAAGAAATCTCGCTCGGCGTCTAAATCACGGCGTGCGGTGAATACGCTGGTACGACGCACGCATTTGAGAGATCGAATCAATCACACGTCCGGGAAAGAATATATAGAAACGGAGTCTTGTCTCGAAGTGAGGAAATTCAATCTCTATCATCGCCATCTCTCTCTTCCCTCTCCCCGAGAACAAAGAATCCTCGAGGAATTCTTTTCTAGATCATCATCATCATCATCATCATCATGATCATCATCATCATCCTCCTGTTCGTCACGTCGCGTGAACTTTTCCCCAATTTGTTTCCTTGACAAACTTTATCGAAGAGATACAGCGCGCACGTGAGAGGGAGGATAAATGTTATATTTCAATAAAACATCGATATAAGAAAGGCTCTACGTAAATCGCGAAACGAATCCGAGAACTACCAAACTTTTATTCATCATACGGTCCAAAGAAAAGAAAAGTGAACTTTGTTCTAGATGTTTTATTTCAAAATTTTGAAATTTATTTCGGATTATTGACGCGAATCGCGCGAAGTCCCAAAACTGCTACGTAAACCATTCTCGAAATAATTTGCAACAAAGTGGCTTAGTTAAATGTCATTCGTTATGTATGTGCACTGATCGTAGGGATTTTTTGTTTGTTAATATTTTATGTACTGACACGAATTCTACAACGTTTTCTCTTATATCTTTTTCTTCTTTGTTTCCTAAATAAATCAGTCTCGAATTAACAAGATTTTATTATATCAAAACTTAAAAATGTTGCTTTTGTGGAATGAAATAGAGAAAAAAGAGAGATATTCTTCCGAGTAGAAAATCTCGTGTTATATAATGTGTGAATAAAGTTAAAATTAAATCATACATACATAGTATATATTTTTACGTGTACTTAAAAAATATTTAATGTCGCATTGATCAAACGCACGGATATATTTCCATTCAACTTATCACCGCTCTTTGATATACATATATGTATATATATATATATATATATATACAAATCGTATTTTATTATCAACAATAATGGATTAACGTACGAATTTTGCGGCGCGAGAATAGAATACTTGTAATCATTTACTTTCATATATCGTATTAAATACATCGTAAACTTGTAATTATCTTCATACGCGTGTGCGCACACGCTAGTTCGGGAAGTTTGCAAATTACAGAAAACCCGTATTTGCGCGAGCAAATTAATTTAGTTGCGGATACGATAACTAACATTTACGGACGCCTGTTATACGAGAGCTGAATGCCAATATTTATCGTGAAAATTTTGGATCATTGAGTGAAGTTGTCGAATTTATTATTTACGAACGCTTTTACCAGACTTGACACGTCTGTGTTAAAATATCTCTATTTTGCGCGAATGTATCTGTACTTCGTTCCACATAAAGGCACCAAATTTGTTTTCCAATCGTGGAGCAATTGCGAATATGTTTCTCTTTTAATTTGATCCTCTTAAAGTGATAAGTAATGTCCATGAATAAAAATACACTTCTAAGAAATTTATTATTATTTGAAATGGTATCAATGCGTTTAGCTCGACATTTAGCACGTATTTAAATCATCGTACACCACATTAAATATTTCGATATTTTATTGCTCACTTGTGTATAACACTTTTAAGCCTTTGTACGATAAATATACAAAACGTATGTATGTATAACGTATTTTTTTTTTAAATAATATAAAAGAATGACTGTGTCGCGTTACTGTATTGTATTGTTTTGTCGATATGTATAATATAATGGTTTGTGATGTTCTTATTAAAAAATAAAGAAACCGAAAATTTGTCCAGAAAGAATTTTATTACATTTTATTTCTCTTTTCTTTCTCTCTCTCTCTCTCTCTCTCTCTCTCTCTCTCTTACACACACTCTCCACACACACACACACAAACAAACATGAAGAGAATTTTATTTATTACGACGCGACGCGCATAATATACTTCAATTTTAATAATATATATTTGAGGTGAGTATGTTGAGAACGTGCTTCAATGTTTGTCATTCTGTGTTTTCATTTCCAATTAAAATTGAGAAAACCGATCAGCGGGTTTATCAAGCACGGTAAATTTGCATCGATCGACACTGACTACAAACCGGCTGCCGCTGTTTGGAATAAATTCCAGCAACGTGTTTTTGGCAGTACACGTGTGTATACACATATGTATGTACATATGTATGCACACGACGTAGTCGCAAGTACATACCGTGCACAGTGATAGTGTTTATTTTTTATTTACCCAATTACTGCATCGTCAACATTATATGTTTGAACAACAATTTCGTCGATGGAATCAATATAATCATCAACAATCATGCTTAAGCTGCTCTATGTATCAAACGCTGTTCTCCCCCCCCCACCCATCGCATCGCGAATAAAGCTTTCACCGACTTTGTTTTTATCTCGCATATGCGATTATGTCAATAGAAGCTACTTCGATTTTTGCAAATGATATATTCACCCTCCGTATTGTATTATACGGGATCATGTCCCTTATATACGCGATCGCATATACAGTAATCTTACGAACAACATAATATTTCTACATATACGCGCACACTAACGCCAACGTCTATTGGCTCGCTACCGAAGTACATTTTCAATACCGTCGCGATTATGTTGATACCATTCGACCTTTCGTATATTTCAATATTTTTGTCGTCATGTTTGAATCTCTATTTCGCAGCGTGACCTAGTCACGAACTTGAATTTCAAAACCCAGCTCGCGTCCATTTCAAAATTATACGATTCGTTCTCTTTTTTCCTTCAAACTGATTGAGAACGTAATTTGTTCTCTTTTCTTAACGCTTTTTGTGAGATCTCGATAGCAAGAAAATGCCGAAGTAAACGTGAATCAAAGTTTTCACCGAAATAAAAATAAAATTACCGAATATGAATTCAAGTTCGATCGCACGCAATGTCAAACATCTAAATATACTAATGTAAGATAAAACAAGAAAACAAATTATTTACTTGCTCTCGTGCGGCTGTTATGAGAAAGCCGGTTGTTGAAAGCACTTTCGTGTAAGTCAGTACTCCGGAACAGATAGAACGAAACTTGATATTTATATTCTCATGTATGTACAAGGCGATGTCCTCTTGAAATCCCGTGAATCACGATCAACGGACGCGACTTTCGACTTATCTGAGATTAGCGTTCGCGCGTCGACGAGATTCACTGCCATCTACCGCCATATTCGAACGTCGCTCGCGGCCAACTTCGCGACGCAGGACGTAGCGACATCTCGCGGTAGTCTAGAGAAGCTCCTGGAATATGACGCGTTCGCATGTGGACGACGCGCGGAAATGTCAAAATAAGAACGTAACCTCTTGACGTCGCCGAAAGCGATCGAGATCTGTGTGTCTGTTTTTTTGAAAAAATAAAAAATAAAAAGGAATGTAAATTAAAATTGCTGACTAAAACCAAAAAGAAATATTATCGGGGTGTGCCAAGAGGTCCGAAATCGGGCTGAAGGTACGTTAAAAACTCCATAAAACCTACATCAAAATAACGGGGATAAGTTTCCGACAGCGGTTGTTCCTGCGGTTCGGCAAATAAAGATGTTCATAGTCACAAAGGAGATCGACAGCGAGAACATCAGCAAATTGTGTCGCACGTGCCTGAGAGAGGACGGCGACAAGATGGTGTGTTTATTCGTGGGCCCGGCCGGTTCCTCGCTCGCCGCTAAACTCCGATCTCTCTCTTGCTTGGAAGTAAGCGATGATGAGTTTTGGCTACAAGTTTGACGTTAAAACTCGACAGAACACTGAGTTTTTGCGCATTCGACAGGTCTGGCAAGGCGACGGCTTACCAGAGAAGATGTGCGATCGCTGCGTCACCAGAGCGGAGTCTGCTCTTCTGTACAGAGAACAATGTCGTGCAGCGGACAGGGCTCTGAGACAAGCCGCGTTGAAGGTACAGACAAATCTAACGCATAATATATACATATGTAGAATTTAACTACGTTTATCGCGTCGTAATAAGATATTTTCACGAACAGGTATCAGGACTTGCGTCGTACGCTGCTGTTTCCGGCTGCAAGTTGTATCAGAACCAACAGAATCAGGGATTCCTGCCTGTGCAGAATTCTCACAAACCTTTGAAATGCATGGAGTGCGGCGCGATGTTTATGAACTATCAGGAGCTCTACGCCCACAATCGACTGCATTTACCGTTTATGCAGGATAACATACCTATGCAACACATGCACATTGTAGAATCTCAGAATCCGTACCTGAATTTCACTCATGTCAGTTCAAACTTCGTCAACGACAACATACCGAATACCCAGTTGTCCCCTTTGGTCAGGTCGAACGTGATGCACACCATGTCGTTGAACGAGGAGAGCTCGAGTCGAGCCGCCTGTGCCTTACATTGCTCGTTGTGCAATCACACCTTTACCAACAGAAGACAACTTATAAATCACAACATAACGCACAGCACGGAAAACGTCGATATATCGTGCGACAACGAGAACATCGAGATCTGCGAAAACTCAAATCACATTCCGCAGAACCTGAGCTACGAGAGATCCATTCACTCGATCGATAATACCGTTCAGAATCTGTCGTATCAGAGATCCACCGTGGACGATAACGACGGTATGCAGAATATAAATTTTCCCGAGAACATTGATCTGGACGGCGTCCAGGAGAGCAATTCCGAGCGCATGCAGAACGTAACGATGCATTCCGAAAATGACGTGTCGATCGCGGAAAATCTGAGTTTCATAAAGGCGCCCGAGAAGAACAAGCAACTCATGATCGAGTATCAGGGATGTCCGACTGATAACGGTTATAAGCAGCCTCTCGAGATCAAAGACACGGAAGATGTTCATGCGAAGAAGCACCAGTGCGAAATATGTCTGAGACAATTTTCACAAAAATCGAAGCTGTACGCTCATCAGTTGTCCCACTCGGGTCAGCAGCCGTTCAAATGTCTGAGCTGCGGCAAGGGTTACACCTCGAAGAGCAAACTCAATGCGCACATGAGACTGCACACCAAAACCAATGTGCATCAGTGTAAGGTTTGCGATAAAATATTCCCGTATCCGTCGTACTTGGACGAACATATGAAGGTGCACAACAAGATCGACGATACGTCGCAGAGCAAGGACTTCGAATGCGGCACCTGCAGCAAACGTTTTCGTCTTCTGAAGAACCTGAAGGCTCACGAGAGACTTCACACCGGGAAGGGCGTGGTGCAATGCGAGATTTGTGACAAACAATTTAGCCATAATTACAATCTGAAAATGCATCTGCAGACGCACAAGACGTCGAGGGTGCACAAATGCGAGTATTGCGACAAGCGTTTCGTGCAGAAGGGTAATCTGGTTGAACATTTGCGAATTCACACAAAAGTGAAACCCTTCGCGTGTAAATTGTGCGGCAAGAGATTCGCGCAATCGAGCCACCTGAAAAGTCACGAAGCCTCTCACGGCACTTTGAGGCAGCACCAGTGTCGATTATGCGGCAAGAGATTCAAACTGGCGAATCATCTGAAGCGACACTTGAATTTGCATACCGGCACAAAAACGTACAAGTGCAATCAATGCAACCAAATGTTTTCGCAGTCTTTCAGTTTGACTAGGCATTTGAAGAAACACAACGAGTCGCACATGTAGTTTGTCCGATGATAAATCGCAATTTATGTACATACGTGTGAATACACATATTTTACAACGTAAGAGGTAAAAGTTCTGGGGAACTGCAATTATTTTTATTCTTTTACAAAAATCACAATTTCCGATTCCGTTCCAAGTATCCATAAATCTTTCTGATCCAAACTCAAAGATCTTACAAATGTTTTTTTTTTTTTTTTTTTTGACCAGATGAAAAATACCGTACAAATATTTTTATTCCAGCGAAATTTGATTCGTTCATTTGTAATTTTTGAGGACCGTTGTGAGAATGTCTATTCCTTCTCGCAGTTGTTCCTCAGTGATAGTCAACGGGGGCGATATTCTGATGATTTGACCGTGTGCGGGTCTCGATAGCAGTCCGGCATCTCTCAATTTCAAACAGATATCCCAACCCTCAGCGTATTCTGTAAATAAAACATTTTATTGAATCGGGTGCGCCGTAAAATTCAATAAAATTTCTCATATTCTCCTTGCGATGTTATCGAGAGAGGAGAACGAGCGAGATAAGAATTGTAAAATACAATTTGGAATTTACGTGCATTTTTATCGTCGCTCACATCGCGATGAAGCTTCGATTTATTTTTATCAGCGCGTACGCTCGTTCGATCGTTCGCTTGTTGCGACTTCGCGATACAATACCTTTGTTGATCACAAGACCGGCCAGAAGACCGCGTCCGCGAAATTCCGTCACGATTTCTTTCGGCAGCTTGCTCAGTTCCTCTCTGAGTATCTTTCCGAGTTTCTTCGCGTTCTCCGCCAGATTCTCCTCTTCCAGGATCTTGACCGCCTCCAAGGCGACTCTGTTCCCGAGCGGACTCCCACCGAACGTACTTCCATGCGAGCCCGTTTCCAAACAGAGCATTATCTGAGGAGCAGATTACAATCGAATTCTAAAGTCATTCTTATCGCTCGTGCAAGCGATTATTAGTGGATGTAACAGCACTTTGAAGCCTCTGCGTCAAACACGTAGATACGCGTTATCGCCTACGTAAGATTTCAATGGTAACAAAGCTCGAAGTGGGTTTTTCACGAACAATGAACGATAAGGAAATATCTTAAATGTGCGTTAAGAATTATTTTAAATTCTGCTAAAACTTTGCATACACTCTAAGTGAGAGATTTAATATGTACGTATATAATATATACGTGTAATATATTTAATATGTGTATATAAAAAATAAGCCAAATAAGTTTGATGTTTTTAATGTCAAATAAGTTTTCTATAGCTACAACAAATTGTTTTAGATCTCTGACCTCATCATTCGCCAGAACACCGGAAACTGGATACATGCCACCGGACAAAGCCTTTCCCAGAACAAGAATATCCGGCTTGACGCCCTCATGATCGACCGCTAAACGCGTGCCGGTTCTGCAAAGACCGGTCTGCACCTCGTCGACGATCCACAGAACGTTGTACTTCGTGCACAGTTCTCTCACGCGTTTCAGATAGCCGTCCTGAAAACCAGAAAGCGATAAAATCCGCCATTGATGAGAAAAAAATAATACATTTTTTTGTCAACACAATAATACACGTCTTTGTGTATTACATTCGTGTTTCTCGTTGACTTACAGTCGGCACAACGACGCCTCCCTCCCCTTGAATAGGTTCCACCATAAACGCGACGATGTTGGGATCATTCTTAAACATCTGCTCCAGAGCGACCACATCGTTGTACGGTACCCGTTCGAAGAGAGGCACATAGGGTCCGAAATCCGTGTACAAATTCGGATCCGACGAGGATGACAAAGCCGCTATCGAGCGACCCCAGAAGTTCCCATTGGCGAACACAACCGTGGCCTTGTTGCTCTGCACCTTTTTCACCCTGTATCCCCAGCGTCTGGCTATTTTGATAGCCGTGTCGCCAGCCTCGACACCTGCAGTGGCAAAACATCCGCTTAGTTTCATTGCACAAATAATCACGAGGATTTTATGATATTTTTTATCTTTTATTATTTATTTCAGTTTTATTTTAAAACAAATTCGCACCTGTGTTCATGGGCAGAAACCGATCCCATTTCAGAAGCTTCGTCAAATATTCCCCCAATTCGCCGTGAGGCTCCGTGTAGAAAGCTCTCGACGTGTGCGCCAGCTTTCCGGCCTGCTCCCTCATGACCTTCACCAGACGCGGATGACAGTGGCCTTGGTTCACGGTCGAGAATCCCGCCAGGAAGTCGAGGTAACGTTTGCCTTCGATATCCCACACGAAAACTCCTTCCCCTCGGGTTAGGACAACCGGCAGCGGTTTGAAGTGAATTCCGCCGTACTTGTTGTCACGATCGATCACTTGCTGGGACGTCAGAAATCTTCTCTTTTCCGATTCTCTCACGATGCTGAGGAACCTTTGTCTTGCGGATTGCATGGCCATGTTTCCCTTCTTTCACTCTGTTTCGAGTCAGCGAATACATTACCAAATGTGACAAATTTTATTTATTTGCATTATTATTTTTGTAGAATAAAAATGTGTGGTATCAATTACAATAACTAGAGAATCAAAAACAGCGAAAACCAAAACCTTATTTTGAAAACACTATCAAATTATTTAAAAAGATTTCGTAAAGATTTCCGGAGAGCAGATCTAAAGCGTTAATAAGAAGTGTAATTTATCCACTGAATACAGCAAAAAAACAAAAAAACAAAAGAACCGCGACAGCCGCACAAGTACCTTTTTCGTGAATGAGAATGTAATGTTTTTAAGAAGTAAAATGTCTGATGAAATGTACTGATCTTGCTTTTATATCAAAGTGTCGAAAGATATGACAAAAGATATGGATACGCGATGTGGATATTGTTGCTTGTTTACTGTCGTATTTGTACACAAGCATTGCGAAAGATGGATTTGAAACAAATACTGCCGCAGACGAAACCGTATCTGATAAAGGTACGCAGGACAGAAGGCGCCAGTATGTAAACGAATAAATGATAAACAATATAATCCGCGAGACGTTTTCACATCAAAAAACTCGGTGAAGAACAAACTTAAAATGATTAATCTAGCATGTACTAAACTCGTTTTCGGAACTACTTCTAGGTAATGCGTCTCTCTTTGTTTATCATTTTTTGAGAAGTTAATTATCAGATAAACAAGAAAATTAGAGTCACGTAAATGGATGTAAATACTTTACATCCATTTATGCTCGTAATTTATCATTTCTAATTTTATTGTTTTTACACATTTTACAACTCGAGGTTTTGTTAAACACTTACAACATGTTTCTCTATATATTTCATCTCGCGATATTCCTTCCCGTGTTATTGTACAAGAAGTACATCTTTATCTGCGCATAGGGAGGGTGAAATGTTATCATAATGTTATTGAGCTATTAATAACTGAAATTAAATCGCTCATTTACTATTCAAGGTTTTATTGTTATTAGTTAAGATGATACTACAGAGTGCATTTGAGATTTATTATTCGGACTTTTTCTACGTAACAAAAAGAAATCGTAACAAACGATAAAGCGAGCGAGCAAACAATGTACATATGTAATGTGACAAAGACACGTCAGTGCAGCTGTTTAATCTTGCGGAACGTATCATCTGATAATAAACAATTTGTCAAAAGCAACGGACAGTTTTTTGATAACATTACAGCCACGTGTAACTGAGATAGAAATCGCGACGGACATTGCACTTTGTGAAAAGTTGTAGATGCGTAAGATAAACAGATCGATACGAGATATCTTTCTTTGCGCTGTGCATTTTTATTCGACAATATATATTACAATACAATAGTATAAACAAGGTTGGGTAAGTTAAATTTTTTTTTTATTTAAGTTAAGTTACAATTAAAGGTCTTAAAAATTTTATTTAGTTAAGATATAAGTTAATCCATAATAAAATTAATTGATTAAAAGTTAAGTTAATAAAAAAAATAATTAACAAGTTAAAAGTTAAATTT